ATATATATATATATATATATATATTTATATATATATATATATATATATATATATATATATATATATATATATATATATATATATATATATATATATATACAGTTACAGTACCCCACTTTACGCGGTCAATAGAACCCAGAGGGTCCCGTGTTAAGTGAAATCCGCGTTAAGTGAACAACAGAACATATGGGATTAATTCCAATAGAAACCGGCCCGACCCCCAAACTCCACTTTTTGAAGACACATAACTATGTTGTAGTAAAAATAACATCTTAATTTTATGATGGTACATGCACACAATTAATACTTAAGAGAAATAGAGAAATACAGTCGCCAAGTTAATGTCCATTCAAATAATGGACTCAACTCCCTCCCCCTCTCACACTACACTGCCAGCTCTTCCCTCTCTTGAGAAATTTTTGGGGGAAAACCACTAAATTTTAATAAATAATACCTCAAACTAAAGTTAGGATAATACAATTGACATTGCTGGATTCCTTGTAAGACCAGGAATATTTTGAATATAAATGTCATATATTTTGCACAAAAGATAACATAGTTACTTAGAGAAAAAATTTTATCTAAAATTTGTATGTCTAATGCAAAATATATGATGTTTATATTCAAAATGATCACCAAATTATAAGAATTCCAGCAATGTAAATTATATTCTGGCCGGGTAATTTGTATGAATTTTATGAGCTAAAACAAATATCTTCAGTTAATAAAAAAAAAAATAATCTTCACGACACTATCTGTCAATCAAAGTACCCCACCTTGCCTCCCCCCTCTTCCAACCGCGCGGTCAGTCCCAACCCTCCCCCCCACCCCCCACCAATCATCCCTTCAAGAGAAGAGTGGGTGAAAAATTTAGATTTTAACATTTTGTATTAAATAATACCTCAGATTAAAGTTAGGATAATATAATTGACATTGCTGGATTCCTTGTAAGACCAGGAATATTTTGAATATAAACGTCATATATTTTGCACAAAAGATAACATAGTTACTCAGAAAATTTTTTTATCTAAAATTTGTATGTTTAATGCAAAATATATGTTTATATTCAAAATGATCATCAAATTATAAGAATTCCAGCAATGTAAATTATATTCTGACCGGGTAATTTGTATGAATTTTATGAGCTAAAACAAATATCTTCAGTTAATAAAAAAAAAAAAAAATATTCTTCACGGGGGTAACAGATGGTCGGTCGGTCGGTCCCTCCCTCCCCCCCACCCCCCACCAACCGTCCCAAGGAGATGTGTGGGAAAACCAAATACTTAACTTTTTTGTAATAAATAATACCTCAAACTAAAGTTAGGATAATATAATTGACATTGCTGGATTCCTTGTAAGACCAGGAATATTTTGAATATAAATGTCATATATTTTGCACAAAAGATAACATAGTTACCCAGAGAAAAAATTTTATCTAAAATTTGTATGTCTAATGCAAAATATATGATGTTTATATTCAAAATGATCACCAAATTATAAGAATTCCAGCAATGTAAATTATATTCTGGCCGGGTAATTTGTATGAATTTTATGAGCTAAAACAGGCAGTCAGGCAGGGTGGCGGGTGGGGCAAATCTAAAAATAGCGTCTGGAGCCGGACACTCACCGCGTATATGTGGAAAAAATCCGTGTTAAGTGAAAGTTCAGCTCTGGCGAGGCACCGCGTATATGATAAAACGCGTTAAGTGAAACCGCGTTAGGCGGGGTAATACTGTACTTCATTATACGTTGGTTAAGGATCTGGTTTTGAATTTATAAAATTTGGGTAATTAGTGTTAATTAATGAGCCTTGAAATAATTTAACATTTAGAATACAGTTTTTAAAACATCAATTGTACTGTTTCTGTAAGTTTTAAATTATTTTTATATACATTTTCTCAAGAATATAGATTAACTTTACCCATTTAAATTTTTTTATTTATTTTCCAGAAGAAAAGGGCATGGGAGGTTTCCCTAACATGAAAATATGTTTGTACTGAACCTCATAGACCCAAGTTTATAGTTGGGGCTTGAGTCACATGATCTGATGTGAATTTTGTCTTTGTTATTGTTTGTTGCACATTTTTCAAAACACCAGCATACCATTGTTAAGATCCTGCCCTTGATAACTGTGATATGTCTGGTAAGTAACTGTTACATGTACCTTTTCATTTACCCATTTAGGACATTGTCCCTGTATCAAAATAAAGATACAGTAACTCATTCACAAGACAGACTCTGCCAGGCAGTGTTCTGTAGGAGGGAATTAACAATTGACTGATCTTCTCCTTACCGTAATCAGAAAATGGATTTTCCCACATTCAGTCCTTGAATTTGGCACAAGTAATTTTTTGGAACAACTGAACATTCCACTAATGTATCATATTCAACAAAGTGTATGAAAATGTATTGAGATATAATAAATTTTATATAAAAATGTTACCATCAAGACAGGTTTTAAAATTATTGCTCTCTAACATCGTACTGTAAATTTATTCCATTTTATGAAATTACTAATTACAATAACCAAACATAATTGCATGACCTCAAACTGGAACCTCAAGATCTGATTCATTAGAATTTAAATCACCTCAAAACTTCATTGGTTGAATTCTATTAGTCTTTGATCGTGTCTTAATCAATCATAATTCTAATATTTTGATCTCGGTTATAAATATTTCTGTGAATTCCTTTTTGACCTTGCTTAGGTTATTACATAATACTGTGCTGTACATCATTGTCATATATGACTTTTAATATATTCTGAGAAGACACAGACCGGCACATAAGATAATTTTTGAAAAGATCGCTTATAAAGACAAAAACATATGTTTTTCCCTCTCAATTAATGCCTTTGCTACATCTAGACAAAATGAGATGAACCAATGGAATATTGTACAGGAGTTTTCTTATTAGAGTTAAACATTGGTCTCCACCTCAGATATATTGACTGGAATAGACTGATTTCCTTGACCAAATTAATTTTTAACTGCCAGACTAGCAGTCCCACTCCATAATACAGTATTTGAGTTTTCAGGTTTACCAAGAAGCAGTAATTACCTATTAGACATGATGGCTTTTATTCGCTGCATTAAGGGTCCAATTTACTAGAGAAAAACAAAATATTTGGAAAATTACCCAAAAAAAAATCAGTCACTTCAAAAAAGTTGAATAGTTCAAGTAATGTTACAGCTGATCATCCCTTAGTGTAGTGCCATTTAGCCTCCCTTATTAATTTGTATTTTTTAATAAGAAATATTAAAGGAAATTGGTCTCTTATAAGAGTTAGGTGGGTGCATTATACTGTGGCTTCCAAAGTATCATAAAGTATTGTAATGTCAAAATATTTATAAGTACAGTACAGTACTTTAAGGAAATTCAATGCTAGCAATAACTATGTAAGAATACTCTGGAAGTTTCTGGGAAAAATAACTACGGATCAGGTCTAATGAAGGACATTGCAGCTGCAACTTAGTGTTTGATTCATGCAGCTGTGTTATGCACTTGCTTATTCATTATAATATTGTGTGTGGGCATTGTTAGCTGTAGGAAAATCCTGGCAACCTTGTGACTAAACTCACAAAATATGATTCCTTGTGTGTTGTTTGGAATTTGACTGGAACTGATTATTATATCAATAAAGTATAACATCAAGGTTAGATAACTTTTTATTAACCATTATACTATCAATAAGGACAAACCTAGAACACTGAAATTCCTTAAGGTTCTAATTCCCAATAATGTTGCAAAAGATCAGAGAGTGACTACTACAGTACAATACTCCGGCCAGGTAGTGTTGTCCTCATTCTTCCCCTTCCTCAGAAACATTTCACCCATTTCCTGACCCACACATCCCCTTCCTTTCCTGAACCAACACTACATTTCTCCTAAAGTGCTCTCTGCTTTTGCATTAAATTTCCCTATAATGACTCTACCATACACTTTTCCTGGTATAATCAACAGAATTTTACTACTTTTTACCTTTACCTCTTTTGTTGTGGCCACTTAAACCCCTTCAATTAAGACAAAATCTTAAAATCAGTCTGGGAATAGTAATCCAAGTGGAAAATTCAGCTTGGAGTAAAATTCCATTTATTCAAACCCCCAAAACTCAAAATAATTAAACGTAACTACAATTATAACTCTTAATACTCACAAGACATGTTGAGAGATGATGGTGAGGAGTTATAGGGCTCTGTACATTGTTGATTGAACAATGCATTTAACATTCAAAAAGTGAACCAATCCAAGTTAGGCTGAGAACCTGTTGTAGATACACCGAGAACATATTATAGTTAAGCCAAGAACATGTTGTAGTTGGGCCAAGAACTTGTTATAATACAGATGAGAATCTGTCAAAGGTTGACCAAGAATTTATTATAATTAAAGTGAGTTGTAACTGTTACTATACTCATGGGCATGATAATAGCTCTATCACAGACCCTTTGACTGCAACATCTGCATAAGTAACCTAAATAGTCATAAACTCAAAGATGGCTGCCATATTAGACACTGAGTACAAGTATAAATTACATTAGGATAGAGATTCTGACAAACAGAAACATGGAGACACTAAAGTGAAAGTAGTGTTTGGCTAAGGTGGTAGGGATAGGGTGAGAGTACAGTAATTATAATGAAATTTTGGGAACAAAGATTCAGTGGTGGATGGTGTGAGGACCATGCAGGATGAGGTGAAAGCTATGAGAGTTGGATGCAAGTGGCAGTAATGTGAGTGAATGACTGGAGAGCATGACTTTCAAATGATTTCTGGGAATGGACATGCTGCTGATGGGTGATGTTATGTTGTGTGAAGGAACATATACTTGGGACCTCCTTATGAAAGAGAAAAACTGTAACAGAAAACATCTATTACAGTAGCAACAATGAATATATGAGTGACTATGAATGATGGGAATGTGTGTTTGCTCTTGACTTGGGTCCTTCTGCATCATCAAGGCTTGAGAGTGAAGAAAAAATTACATGACAAAAAATATCAAAAGTTTCACTCCTGTTTATTCATACAGTACATCAGTTGATCCATTATGAATTATTATAATACATTTATATTATTACAATATCAAAAGTTCTATTCCTTATTCTTAGTTAATTCATCTAACACAGAATCCTTTCAAGCAGCTTCATGATATAACTATGTACTGTATTTGTTTGATCGCAGGGATACGAGATACTGAATAAGAATCTAATCATGTTGGTTCTGCACACCAGGGGAGGGAGGTGGTATGAAGGTTAATTTGAGCAAGGAATCAATGGAAAATTACCTCAAATAAAGGAATAAATTAACAATTCCCACAAAAAAAAAATCTAAAATCTGCTTCAGAAATCATTCATCACTTTCCTCTTAATTTGTTGATGGTCCCACATTGCCTCATCAAGGAGTAAACTTCACTGTTAACAAGGATACATTACATCCTTAAATGCTATTGCTGAGATAGTTTTCTGATGACCAGAGTATTCTCGTTTAATTTCCCCAGTTTCTACTGACCATAATCTTGCAGTGTTATCAGATGAGCCTGTGAAAAATGTCAAGTATTAATATGTGAAGTCCTATTTCCTCTGTGAGGGAAGTGTCCTGGGAGAATCTCCAACTGAAAAACCCTGGTAAAAATTGCCTTTGAGACCAAGAGGCTTCTGATAAACAGATATACCCGGTAGTAATTATGTAAAGTGGACACGCAAATGAATGCGTGTTCGAAAAAGCAAGTACATACCACAGTATTGTATATGTGTCAGTTTGGTTATATTACAGGTATTAAGTGCAAATACCTGTACACTAACTGACTTCATTATTTTCAAACACTCTCAATGTCATTAAGTCTACAAATAAGCTTTCACTCATCATACAGTAACTTACTCCTCAAATTCGAGTGAAGGCAAGTAGACTCACACCACCATAAACACAGTCACCGAGCCAGTTTCCTGTTTGACAAAATTCTCCTCATTTACTCTTATGTAAATTTCATATTTATGCTCAAATCTTCTGTAAAGTAGATTTGTGGTTGACAGGTACTTTACTGACCAGTACTGTATATTCTTTCTAATGGCAGGCACATTACCTTGTAGGATCAATTTAAATCACTATAGAGTAGCTATTAATCTGGTTCACTCGGGTTCATGAAGCAAGCTCCAAATCTGCCTCATTGGTGTTTTGAAAACCACTGAGTTATAAGGTACAATACACTGGGATGAACCCTGATACTGGTTCATTCATCATAAATTTAAGTCATGGAGATGAGTTCCATTTATAAAACCTTATAGATTTTGTTCTAGAGGGAAAATCTTGCAAGTTGCTTGTCAAATGACAAGTAGGTCATAATATCACTTTAAAGTGTCAAGATAATTAATTATTCCCCCCAAAACTGGTCAATGTGCAGACTATTAAGTTACAGAAATACTTTAAAAATTATTGTCTGATCAGGAACCTATACAGTATTACGAAAATCTTATTACTATACATCAATCTTTCTTTTTATAAATTTACCTGTTATAATATGTTGTGAATCAGCAGAGAAAGCAACATCCCACACCCATCTTTGGCTACTGTCACTCAGTTCTGTCATTTGGGAAAAATCTGCAGTTTTCCATATGCGAGCAGTGTGGTCAGCAGACGTCGTTACCATCATACTGTAAATAAGTATACATGAAGCATTCACATGAGTTAAGAGTCAACAGTTATACACAACAAAGATATGTGGACGTAAATGAAATGTCCAATCATATGTGTATAACTCGGAGGTAGATGCCAGATATTGCTAAGTGTTTAAGACTTTTGACCCCGACTGTACATCCAGGAAGTAATTGAGGAAGGATTAAGAAATAAGAGCTGCTGAAGTGTTAGTTGCAGGGAGCACTTGCACAGAGAACAAAGACAAGGTGACAGTCATATCACACTACACCACTCACCTAACAATACAATTTTAGTTTTGTACATACCATAATTTCATTGGCAATGGTATAATATTAATAGTACAGTATGCATCAGCAAATATCTACTACACTATCTACTATAATTTTCCACAGAACAATGTCACACAGAATGCAAATTATTATTGTACCTGTATTATACTATATTTTTCATTAAAAGTATATTGTAATTTCCTGAAAAACCAGATCTTACGTGGAATCGGGGCTGAACTTGACTTTGAGGGCGTAGTTGTTGTGAGCAAGGAGAGATCGTGTTGGTGTGAGGGTAATGGGTGTCTCTCCAGTTCCCCCAGAGAGCCGCCAAACATACACCTTTCCTTTGTTATTGACGGCAGCCATGTATGTTCCTTCTGGGTCTATGGCAATGCTCTGTATACTGCCATCAGGTTCTGGTATCTGGATAATAAGTAATTTAATTACATTTACTGTCAAACCTCTATTTAACGGACTATAAAGAGAAGAAAGTCTGTCATACCGAGGGTCCATTATATATAAAACCTCCATCTCATGAACTATATAGAGATGAAAGTCCGGTGTACGTAAGGAGGTTTCACTGTACAGTAAACACCGAGTTTGAATTAAATATTTCCTTTTAAAATTTTGCAACCTTCTTCAAATGGTATTACAAGTCATGTAATATTTAGCAATAAGATGAGTTTCTAACGTAAGTGCTGTACTGTGTTCAACTTTATTCAGATCAAATAAAATGCATTGAGATACTCTGAATACAAAACAAAAACATCTACAATCTCACTCGTCATCTCTGACAATATGAAAATGCATCATACAGTATTCCCATCCACTGTTTTATCCAATCTGGCATGAATCCATACACAGTAAACTGAATATTGGATACTCCAAACAAGGAACTTTTTCTGCCAGTTGTAGCAGACCAGTCTGGCTCAGACAGGACATATTCAGTATCCCAACACATGGTGATATTATGCTCTCTTGCTGTCAGCGTTGGGAGGAAACCAAGCACTGACTGATAGCCTAGAGAAGCTGTGCTTTGATTAGTCAAGAGACTACTGTAGGCATGCTTTGCCAATGCTTGTTGAAAGTGATCTCAGTCTGCCAGTTCATCTCAACTGTCATAAAATCTTCTGATTAAAGGTGGAATTTTCACCTCCTTTTCATGTTATTTGTGTTACAGCATACAGAGTACAGTACAGTAATACTGCACTGTACATAAGTACTGTACTGTACTGCATATACTGTACCTTACATTTTTACAAGGTGTTACAGACAGTTACACATATGTTGTTCATAAATTATTAAAAAAAATAAATACTAACTTGATCCTTTTAATATCTATGCAATCTTAAAATAAACAGAATTCTAAATTCTCATTTCAATTCAATTCCCCGAGTGAAAGGAAGGATTTTTGAAACCCCAGTACAGTGAAGTTAATTTCTGTTGATTAAATCAACCTTCCAGTTCATCACATCTTGCCTAAACAGTCAAATTAATGCAGCCAAAACCTTTATCAACATCTCTCTGGTTTCCTTCACTTTATCATTACCTGTACTTTCATGGGAGAAAATGGGATACAAAAGATTGATTGATATGAGCATAAGATTCAGAGGAGGATGGTAGGAACGGGAGAAGAAAATACCAAAGGAATGGAAGGATGAGGTGCTTTAGTTACTAAAAGTGCTGTTGGGAAGCTAGAACATGATGGATTTATGAATTTGTTAAACGCACTTCCCAATACAGTATACCATTCTACCTTGAAACAATGAAGCATTTCTATGATGAAATTCCCAAAGAAAAGTCTGGTTCACAGGTATTAAGCGAAACATCTTTAAAAAAATTACACACAGCAATCATTATCACCAAGAAAAAATCACCTTAAAGGAATATACAGTATGTTACGTTTTGTTTTTTTGCAAAATCGGTTATTTTGCAAAATTACCGGCATGCTTATTGGAAACTGTGCAAAATAACTTACCTACATACAGGCTAACCAAAGTTAAAAAAGAAGAACAGGACCACTACACGAGCCATCCTAAAGTAACCTAACGTAACCTAACCTCTCACTTAACATAACCATAACGTTAGGTTAGTTTAGGTTGTCTGTAAGTTATTTTGCAAAATTACCAATATGCATGCCGGTAATTTTTCAAAATAACGATTTTGCACCAAAAAAAAGTGAAATAAAAAAAATAATGGAAACAAGAAAAAACATGAAGAGTGAACTTCCAACCTAAGCTTATGACCATGGGTTTCAAATCACATAAATTGTATCAGGATTAATCTCAGTGGCCTAGATCATTGTTGAGGTTCCACCACCCCCAGTAACCAGCAACTCTGCCATGAGGTATTTTGTTGGAGGGAATCTTACAGGACACTTGACAAATGAAACAGTATACAGTATCTATCATAAAATATTGCCTTCTGCAGAATAATATGCAGACTGTACAGTAAAATACCCACCAGCTGTTCATTATGTTCAGTTTTCACATCCCAAATGTGAATGACTCCTGACTGGTCTCCCACAAACAGCTCTGCCTGGTTAGGGTGAAGGCAGGCACAGTTGACTGGAGTGCTCACTTGGAAAATTCTAGATACATGTAGGTTGTATGATCTGGAAAAAATATGCATTACAAAAAAATACTAAAATGGAGTGTAAATTCTATCTATTTACAAAGTAAGGTAGTAACCATATAAAATTACTGTACACTGTACAACCTTTTTCAAATTTGTCATTCTGTATTTAATACTTTGCCTACATGTGTTACAGGATGTTGATGTACATATTAGAGAAATATAAAGTGAAACCCTTAACAAAACATATAAGATACAGTACTGAAGTTTATACTGGACAAAAATAATACTCTTTACTCCATACCTCAAGTCCCAGATTTTTGCAGTACAGTCTTCACCGCCTGTGAACATCCACTTGCCATCCTCTTGGAACCCAAGTGCTGTAACATTCTTACTAACTCCTTCATAGTTCACAACCGGGTCTTCATTTAATGTTTTCAGATCATACATGCGAATGTGTTGATAACCAGCTGCTGCCAACATATTGCGGTCAGGTGCTATTTCCATGGCATTTACTTGCTAAAACAATCAGTTAAGGAATATTCATCACCCATCTGAGTTATGGTACAGTATTACCAAAGTCATGACCACAGAGCCTAGTACAGTATTGAGTTGTAAAATAATTCTACACACAAAGTTTTCTTATAAAACTGATAATTATAACCTACTGTACCTTACCCATGATGGTATTGAATCTTTCATGAAAGATTACATAAATAATTTAATACCATATTGTCACCTACAATAGTTGGATGCTCTTTTCTCCATTCATGGTCAACATGATGCCAAGTACCTGTACTGTATATTCTAAGTTCAATTAACACCCATTTTCCACCCGAGTACAGTACAGTATAATTAAAAATGTTAAAATGTGGGGGATTAATACGTACTTCAGACATCTGACTTGTAAGAGGGAGCAACTTTAGGAAAATATGTTTCTTACCTGTACAATTATCATAAAAAGGTGAAAGAATTGCAATTTTCCTACTTTTGTGTTTCCAAAGAGCTACCTGGAATGCTGTCAAGAATTTTTTATGGGCACACCAAGTGACAAATGCTTCCCAGAAATTAAACCTTCTGTATAATATAAACACAAAACACTGACTGCTACTTTTATTAATAACACTGTTCAGTATAATGATATAAATGATATTAAAACAGGAAGAGGTTACTTAGCTGGGATGTTAAGTTGTAAAAGCCATGCACTGTATCTTGATACAGTGGAGTCTGCATTTACGCGGTCAATTGAACTCGTGGAGGCCCGCGTAAAACGAGAAACGCGTAAATGAAATAACAGAACATATGGGATTAATTGAAATAGAGACTCGGCCAACCCCCAAACTCCACTTTTTCCGACACAATACATACGTTGTAGTAAAAATAACATCTTAATTTTATGATGGTATGCATACACAATTAATATTTAAGAGAAATACAGTCGCCCGGTTAATGTCCATTCAAATAATGGACTCAACCCACCTCTTCCCACGCTCGCTGGCTCCTCCCTCTCTGAGAAATGTTTGGGTGAAAACAGTAGGTTTACATTTTTAGTAATAAATAATACCTCAGACTAAAGTTAGGATAATATAATTGACATTGCTGGATTCCTTGCAAGACCAGGAATATTTTGAATATAAACGTCATATATTTTGGACAAATGATAAAATTTTTGCTCTTTCTAATCAAAATTCTTACATTAGATCTAAAATTTGTATGTCTAATGCAAATTCCATGATGTTTATATTTAAAATAATCACAATCTTACAAGAATTCCAGCAATGTAAATTATATTCTGGCCGGGTAATTTGTATGAATTTTATGAGCTAAAACAAATATCTTCAGTAAATACAGTGAACAAATTAAACTTCACCCTCGTAAATGACCAAATTTACCGCATAATTAAAGCATTTCATTCTGGCAAGGCACCGCGTAAATGACCAAACGCGTATACAAAAGCCGCGTAAATGCAGACTCCACTGTACAGTATATGAGAACCGTTAGATTTGGTTCCTTAGGTTTAAGTGAGTTTAACTGGTACCAGCCCGTGTTGGCTATTCTGATGTTCCACAATTATCAAGCTAACCCATCCTATTACCAAAAACTTTAAAAGTTACCTAGTAATACCTTAAAGGAAGTGCGTGGGTTAACGAGCAACATAATGAAACTTTTCAAATCAAAGAAAACTTCCTTTCTCATGACCCCAAAATGTGGAGGAGGAATCAATTTTTACCAACATAACCTAATCAAAAAAGAAAACCAATGAAAACCAAGGAACCAAACCTAACTACAGCACTGTACTCATATCAAGATCCACGAATTTTCTTACCTAACTTAACATCCCAGATATGTAGCCTACAATCTGCCCAGTCGGTGATTCCCAGCTAAGTGTTGTAGCCAATGGATTCCTTTAAAGTTTCTTTTCCAAGTGGTAAATACAAATATAAAAACCTATACCTGTATCACTATCCTTTAATGATACCCAATTACTGTACTCTTCTAAATAGTTTCTAAAATGACTACTATTGGTACACAAGAGTTAATATTTAGAAGTTGCCATTACCTACTCATATATGGAGTTTTATATAGGGAGAAAGAAATAAAAATAAAAATAATTTATTCTACAGCGTTTGTCGGAAATTTGTATTTTATCCCACATTTTGGTTACAGTTTCAGCCACAACTCGGTTAGCCATATTTTGTATTTACCATTAGGTAGTTTTATTTTGTCAATAGAAACAACGTTTTCTAATACCACTTCCGTCACAAATAGATATTAACAGAGAAAGTACTATAAATTCACAAAAGAAATTAACATAAATCTGCAGTCAACAAAGTTGCTTTCATTGGTACAGTACCAGATATCAAAATTAGTACTTTCTGTTTAATGTGGCGGGGACGGCTAGGAAGTTACATTAGGTAAGGTTAGGTAGGTTTCTTTGGTTGGTTAGGTCAGATTGTATGGTGGAGGGGGGAAGGGTGGGGGGGGGGTGACAAGTCCAAAACGACTCAATTCCGACGGAAATGAATGTTGCTTTTCCTCTTGAGATGCCTCGGTATGTGCTGACAGCATTGCTGGGGTTATACAGGGTAGTATGAGTGCATTTAAACCCATTTTCTACCAAAACTTTCACTTTACAATCATGGATTGTTCACTCCTGTTCTCTTGCATGTAGGGAGAGAGATAGGGCATATCAAGCTATGAAACTATCTCCTTCTCCTATTACCCGCTCCTCTTTCATTACTTCTAGGAATCGTTGTAAGGTTATTCGTCATAGGGCCAAGTGTTCTAGCCCCTATCAATCAGTATTATATAAATATGGGCTAAGAACATATATTCATTATATACATTCTATCACCCAGACTATTGAGCATAAAGCTTCATAAGCATTTGTTCTGTCACACCTCCGAGGGTGGACAGCACACTTAAACATTTGTAGTTTCACACAGATTCAGGTTACAACCCATAAATATATGTCCCCAGGCCTCCGTGAGAGTAGGCCTGTGGAGTGTAGCCTCTTATCTCTGTGTTGACGTATAGATTACATACCCCCTTACAAGCAGAGAAGAGAGGGGTTCGCCTAGTTCACAGTTTCACACAGTTCAACAGTTCACAGCCAGACACCATACCAAAGAGACGTGTGTGAGCATAGCTCCCGAGGCTGTATCTCTCTCTAATTTTATCAGCTAATTACAAGCTAATAGCTAATGCTCAGTAGTCTGTCAACAAACAATTCTGTAACTACCAGAGCATCCAATATAACTAGAAAATGACCACGTGTGTTTACATTAAACCAAGGAACCACAAATGAAGATAACAGAACCTGTGTACACTTGTGTATACTTACAAGCTAAGATAATTACAAGTGTAACCCAGGTGGGCTTGGACGACTCAGCGACTCAAAACTACGACTGTATCAAAGGTGACACGCCTGAGACTACCTATTATCTCACCCAGCTTCATCAAAGGTACCAGCGACTACTCTACACTCATTCAGGCAAGTGTTAACAAGTGAGATCATTTGATATCAAATCCCGGCCCAAACACAAGCAGAATTTTATAAAAAGAAAGACCGCTGACCTGACTAACTCTTCTTCTAGTAAATCCTTCTGGTCCTTAACCAAAAACATCTGTAATAACTTCTGCACTCCCTCTTTTCCGACCTGATAACTCTATAGCCAACTCTGCCCCTGTAGCTGAAACTGTAAATTTACCCACATTTTCCCTCTACTTCAAAGCTCTGCCCACTTTGAATAATATTGTTGGTAATTTTATGGGTTAAAATACTCGAACAATATTAAATTCAGAGGGAAAAGCTATCGAATAATTTATTTTTAGTTTTTCTTTCCCCTAATATACTTCAATATAATAAATGTTGGCAACTTCTAAATATTTTCATACACAAGAAATACTAAGTAAAGTATTATTAAATATTAACACAGTGGTGACAGGTGTTATTAGTTTGCTAAAAGGATACCGACTCCGGGTGCTTTAGGGTCCTCTGACAGATGCCACTGTGAGCTTGCCATAGCTTGATGGTGTGGTCATAGCTGGCGGTGGCTAAAATCACTTGGTTACTTGCGTCACTAGCAGACATATTTCAAGAGATTTAACTACTATTTCTTTAATGAACCAGTGCCCGAAGGCAATGTTAGTATACTCGAGCTTCAGGCACTGTGCAGAAGCAGTGTTGTTGACTGTGGGACTGTAATCCGGATCAGGCAGATTGAATAACAAGGATTCTATTAGTATTAGAATCCTATTAACTCATGGCCACCCTACTACAGGTGGCCTGTATTTAGTGAGTAAAATTGTCATAAAAGTTTACATATACGGTGTAGACATTAGGAATGTAAGCAATAAGGAGTCAAAATCATGAGCTGAATTATAATTGCTGTATAGTGTTGCCTTTTTTTCGCGAAGAGGTTTCAATGTTTTGTTGACCCAGGGATTATTTAATGATTTAACGTAATTGATTTACTGTCTAGAATCTAGTAGATTAACCACATCATTCTTACATGTGTGGGGTATTAGATGTTTGGTTCACACTCAGGATGGAATGGAGAAAGGAAACTCACAATGTGCTCTCTATATACATGTTGTATTGGATGTACAATGCAGCTTGGTGCTGGGAAGGCAGCATGGTTACAAGCGTGATGTAGAGAGAGCTGGTTGGTGAGGACGCTCAGAGAAGGACAGCTTGTGGGTCTCCATGCTCGCCAGCGGGAGAGAGGACCGCCAGGCAGGCGGAGGAGCGAGGGCCGCCAGGCAGGCGGAGGTGTTGCTGGCTGGTTGGTGTAGGTAGAAAGAGAGACAGATCACCACGAGGTCAGGTCTTAAATAGCGGGGGTAGGCGTGGCTTAGCAGTTGACCCCCGCTCCGTGGTGTATGGCGGCGCTGGTTGACCTAGACCACGAGGCATACACTGGGGAATTGGTGGGGTCGGCTAGGCAGCGACAAACAGCGTTTGTAGGGGAGAATTCCACTACAATACTCCCCCTTCCCTCCAGGCTGTGTAGGAGACTTGTTGTCTGCAGAGTTGCATAGCACATGTGAGGCAGAACGGGCGGTGCGTGCCTCATGTGAGACAACGGCGATGGCGTGATGAGCCGGTCGCTGGGGACAACTGTCTAGATACACAATATCTGTGGGAGTAGAGAGGGAGAATAAGGGTGTGTGGAGGCGATGAATTTTGTGCTTCCCTCACGGCAGGTACCGAGTCGTCAGATGCGCCTGCTGGGGTGTGTGGGCCTGGGTCAGGAGCAGGGGCTGCGTCAGCAGAAACGGATGAGGGCTCGTGACAGCAGCTGGGTCCACGACAGCAGCAGGGTGCAGGACATTAGCAGGGAGTACCTGGGGCAGAAAAGAGGGGTGTGTGTGTCCGCACTCAGGAACAGAGGCCGCATCAGGGGCGGCAGGGGTTACTGCTGGGCCGGGGTCGGCGTCTGAGGCAGGACGGGTGTGTTGGGGTCAGTAGGACGTGGTGCTTGGTGCAAGAAGAGGAGCGACTGTCTGCTTAGAGTAGCAGAGCTGCTCTAGGGTGTCTGACCTGCGGTGTAGAAACAGTAGCTGTAGAGCCGATGAGAGCTGCTTCTGGGTGGATAAGCCAGTCTTCCATGTAGCTTGAAGACTGGGAGCGTGATCAGTTTCTCCTCCATCCTGTGTGAGTGCGAATCTCCGGGGGTCACCATTTGTGGGGTATTAGATGTTTGGTTCACACTCAGGATGGAATGGAGAAAGGAAACTCACAATGTGCTCTCTATATACATGTTGTATTGGATGTACAATGCAGCTTGGTGCTGGGAAGGCAGCATGGTTACAAGCGTGATGTAGAGAGAGCTGGTTGGTGAGGACGCTCAGAGAAGGACAGCTTGTGGGTCTCCATGCTCGCCAACGGGAGAGAGGACCGCCAGGCAGGTGGAGGAGCGAGGGCCGCCAGGCAGCGGAGGTGTTGCTGGCTGGTTGGTGTAAGTAGAAAGAGAGACAGATCACCACGAGGTCAGGTCTTAAATAGCGGGGGTAGGCGTGGCTTAGCAGTTGACCCCCGCTCCGTGGTGTATGGCGGCGCTGGTTGACCTAGACCACGAGGCATACACTGGGGAATTGGTGGGGTCGGCTAGGCAGCGACAAACAGCGTTTGTAGGGGAGAATTCCACTACACATGTTTCTCCCGAACAAATTCGTAAAATTGACATATTACAGAATGATTACTTACTTTATATATTCTTGCTTATATTCTTATATGTTCTTTATCTCTATATACCTTATATTCTTATATATTCTAATATAAGTAACTCTTATGCTTCTCTGCTTATATTTTCCAAGTCAATGTTCTTTCTTTTCATTTCCTGTCATATATTATGATCTCATCCATATATTTTGTTCTAGTTATATTCTAAACCATGGATTAACCTGGGAAACCATGTCTTTGTGATTACCACACTTATTATACTTACAACGGTAGCCTGCCACCACCCAGGATTTTCTAGAATATAACATCTCTTAGTTAACTGTTAGGTAGCGAGCTTCTAGGCACGTGAGTTAGTTATTTTCTGAGAACCAATGTGGGAAAGGATAGAGTGGTGATACTCGTAGACGTAGATTACCAATTCAATATTTATTAACACAGTGATTGGATAAGATGCATCTTAGATTCACTCAGACAAAACAGAACTGCAATTTGTTTCTTAAGTCATCAAACACTTCAAGAACTTATTACCTCATTAAATACCTCCAAATACTTATTACTTCAATCGACAATTGTGGTATTGTCACTCTGCCAAATGATATTCAGTACTGGGTATACACCAGATATCACTGGACCCTCAGGTCTTACCTTACCAAGTAGCAAATTAACTCTTCACTTCTTGGTTATATCATTATACTCTCAGATTATCATTTCATGGTCACTACCAATGAATACATAGCACACTGGACAACTCCACAATTATCTCAACATACAATACCTCCTGTTAATTCACAAGGAACAACATGGCACTTTTAACTCTCATTCAGTGGTTCAATACTTAACCTGGGATACTATATTTCTGCTAGTTATCCCCAAACAAGATACAATAATACTTAGGCCTATGTAACTGTGAGGAGTGCCCCAGGGTAACGCTGGTCTCTACAACAAATGAAGATCGCTGTTAGGGGTCGGTTGTAGACCGACACACGCCCAGGGAGTTGGCGCCTGATTTGCAGGAAACGGACTTCCCAGTTCAGTCCTGTCGAATTAACGGCATCGTCCAACCCGGTTACCGCCCCACGTTAGCCGATGAGTATTCAGCTCAACACACTGGAGAGATGTTGAGGAAGTCACGAATGCGTAAAGGTCTAACTTCAACTATACAAAACATACGCCTGGCAACGGTTCAGACAATATCTAAATCTCTACGTTACTCGACTTAATTGGCACAGAATTCACTATGTTAATACATGAGCACTGATATTCACCAAAATTGACTAAGTTAAACTGAATTAATAGGCGGCGGGAACACATTGAGGAATCGTGATTCTCCCCTCGTAGTCGAGGTATATACGATGCACTTCGCCCGGGCAGCTTGGGCATCTATTCATACAAGAGGTCGATCTTACCAACAACATAACTTCTCAATATTTTGCGGATAACCTTAGTTATGAACTCCGGGTGTTCTTGATCAGGAATTTCCTATGTCTATTCATATAATCTAATCAGGTTGAGCTTGCCAGGAAAAGGTGAATATACGTCGATAACATTAATCTGAATGAAGATGAACAGGCTATTAACGGGCGCTAGATCTTGGAGATTATACCAGTTACAGAATAGTTCAGGAGATTAATGACTTTCAAAACAGACAACTGACACTAATTAAACTAAAACATCAGATTCCTCTGATGTCATTAAATAAATATAACTTCAGACTCATGGATACCCCACGGACGACAAATAAAATACGCCAATCTAGCTGGCAAACTTCGACACTCACTTACGTGACACGCTCTACTAACGATAAGGACGGTTAAACATTACTCACAATGGATAATGTTCAACTAAACAAATTCTCAAGTTAACAAAAGGTGTTCTCTCTCACACTCACATTCATTTTATAGAGGTTGGTTTCAGTAAGTCAGAAATGGGATAACGGAATCTTGGTGATGACGGACTCCTCAGATGGAGGACTCAATTTACATTTTTGGGCTATTGGTAATATGAATCATTTGATTTTAACTGACGTTAAGACCGTGGTCAATTCCCCCACCCAAGATTCAATATTATGCGTATAGAACAAAAACATTCTAAATACATAATTTCAAACACAATATCTTGCAGTATTGGAAATAATGGTCAACAATACAGGTAACACATGTTACCATACAAAAATTTTGCAACTCCGAATAATCACAAAAAACTCCAGGCAGAATAAAACTAACAAAGCAATACTGGTCATGAACCCTGAAGAACATAATCATACATCAATAGTACAGACATAATAATAAGGCCATTATGGTTTTTGTACATTTGTAACTACACCATCCACCAGGATGACAGTAGTTTCAATAAGCGATTGATACTATGTATCTCTGCAGTCAACACCAAATTCAGCAATTGAGATCTCAAGCTAGGAGTAGTTAGGCGGACCCCATCCAGTCACTGAGGTATTAGGGTTGACCTTACCAGGAAGAATCATTGTTCACTCACGAGACGAGGCAAGATCTAAGTGGTCAGAGCATGGACTCCAAATAGACTATAATGCCAGCGAACCGGTCCACGGCATCCCCAAAACTCGGTTCCCTTGCAATAAGAGTCTTAAACTGCACTAGGTCCAAGTACTCACATGCACGCCTAGCCAAACTCTGCAATGCAATTAAACCACACAGGTCCATGTACTCCTGTACGCCCTAGCAGTGACTCTGCCAGCGTCTTAAACTGCACTAGGTCCATAACCCTGTACACGCCTAGTGTTGCAAATACCGCTTAAACTGCACCAGGTCCATGCACTGTACTCCTACACGCTGTACGCTAGCCGTGACTCGCAATGGCGTCTTAAACTGCACTAGGTCCATGTACTCCTGTACCGCCTAGCCGTGACTGCAAATGACGTCTAAACACTAGGTCATGCATACTCCTGTACACGCCTAGCCGTGACTTGGCAATGCAAACGTCTTAAACTGCACTAGGTCCATATGTGCTCCTGTACACTAGCCGTGACTTTCAACCGTCTTAAACTGCACTAGGTCCATG